GTGAGTCGAGTTCCTTTGATGCTGCTGATTCGTTTGCGTTTGGTGCTCGCCTGGAATTGCCGCGATTTGATGGTGCCAATCCGCGTCTGTGGCAAACGCGGTGTGAAGATCAGTTCAGGTTGTGGTGTACACCGGCTCACCGATGGATTTCTCTGGCAACAGCTCAATTTGAGGGTGCTGCTGCTCGTTGGTTGGAATCGATGCAACGTCGACAGCCGCATGCAAGTTGGTCTGAATTTTGCCAGAGTCTGCAGAACTGTTTTGGGCGTAATCAACATCAGACATTGCTCCGTCAGTTGTTCAGAATAGCTCAGACCTCAACTGTAGCAGATTATGTGGAACGCTTTGCTGATTTGTATGATCAACTATCTGCATATGAAGAGGCGCCCAATTCCCTGCACTATACAACTAGATTCCTGGATGGACTTAAACCTGGTGTCCGTGTCGCTGTAGCTCTACAGAAACCACGCGATTTGGATGCAGCGTATGATTTAGCGTTGTTGCATGAGGAGTTAGGTGAAGGCATTACTCCCATTAATCATGTCCCTGCTGCTAGATCAGGGCCAATGCCATTGCCATTGCCATCGTATAAACATCGCACTTCCGAAGACAAACGAAGTGTTGAAGTTCAGAAACCAAGTCAGACTAAAGATAAGTGGTCTGCCTTGAGGAATTATCGTAAGTCCAAGGGACTGTGCTTTGTTTGTGGTGAGAAATGGTCGAAGGATCATATATGCAAGTCGTCAGTCCAGTTGCACATAGTGCAGGAGCTTATTGATCACATTCAATCGGAAGAAACAATATCCACTGATAGCAGTATTCAGGACCAGATGTATGTATGTAGTATGCAATTGTCTGCTGCTACTGTAGGGAAACAATCTAATGTGCCCACTTTGCAGTTGTTGATTGAGTTGCAAGGCATGGAACTTGTCTTTCTTGTTGATTCAGGCAGTACGCATTCTTTCATTGACAGCAGCTTGCAACACAAATTGACAAATGTTCAAACACATGAACCTGTGACAGTATCTGTAGCTGGAGGAGGTACATTGCGATGCGATTCTGTTTTAAAATCCTGCTCCTGGAGTTGTGGTCAGGTGGAATTTGCTACTAGTTTTCGATTACTTCCCCTAGCCAGTTATGATGGAATTATAGGCCTGGATTGGCTTGCTCAGCACAGTCCTATGCAGGTTGATTGGGTTCAAAAGTGGATGTCCTTTTACTATCAAGGAGATACAGTTACATTGCAAGGGCTGTTACCTGACGATGTAGCAGTTACAGTGTTTTCTGTCTCTCTGATCAGACCTGTGGAACAGAAAGTTGTTCAGCCAGAGTTGCAAGTTTTGCTAGATAAGCATGCTGTAGTGTTTGAAAATCCAACTACACTACCTCCTAGAAGACTTAAGGATCACACTATTCCATTGATTCCTGGAGCCAGACCAGTGTCTGTTAGGCCCTACAGGATTGCTCCATATCTGAAAGATGAGTTGGAAAAACAGATTAAAGAGCTGCTGGATTCAGGGATGATTAGGCATAGTAACAGTGCTTTTTCTTCTCCTGTGTTGTTAGTTAAAAAGAAAGAAGAAGGAACTTGGAGGATGGTAGTTGATTATAGACAACTCAATGCTATCACCGAAAAAGGGAAATATCCAGTGCCTGTAATAGATGAACTTTTGGATGAACTTGCAGGAGCCTGTTGGTTTTCTAAGCTGGACTTGAAAGGTGGATATTATCAGATCAGATTAGCACCAGGAGAGGAATATAAGACTGCATTTCAAACTCATAATGGACATTATGAATTTACTGTGATGGGCATGGGTTTGACAGGAGCACCTGGATCATTTCAAGGGCAAATGAATTTTGATCTGTCTCCAGTCTTGAGGAAGTTTGCCTTGGTTTTCTTTGATGATATTCTGATATTCAGTAAGACATTGGAAGAACACTGGAAACATTTGGATGAGGTGCTATCTATTTTGCATAAGGAGCAGTGGAAGGTTAAGATGTCTAAATGTGACTTTGCTCAGCCCAAGATAGCATATCTAGGGCATGTTATTTCTGCAAAGGGGTTTCCACTGACCCTGATAAGATAGTGGTTGTTCAGCAATGACCTACTCCAAAAAATGTGAAGGAAGTGAGGGGTTTTCTTGGTTTGAGTGGTTATTATAGAAAATTCATTAAACATTATGGGATTATTGCAAGGCCTTTAACTAATTTGCTTAAGAACGGAGTTCCTTTTGTATGGACCAGTGTTACAGAGGAGGCTTTTGTCACACTTAAGCATGCTCTAGTGTCCGCTCCTGTATTGGCCTTACCAGATTTTAGTAAGCCCTTTATGATTGAGACTGATGCTTGTGAATATGGTATTGGTGTAGTGCTGATGCAACAGGGACACCCACTGGCATTTGTTAGTAAAACTTTGGGACCCAAGAATAGGGCCCTGTCAGTATATGAGAAAGAATATTTGGCTATTTTATTGGCAGTGGATAAGTGGAGGCCTTATTTGCAAGTTCAGCAGTTCACTATTAAAACTAATCAAAGAAGTTTGGCTCATTTGCAGGATCAAAGATTGCATACAATCTGGCAGCAGAAGTGTCTTACTAAACTTCTTGGATTGCATTATCAGATTCAGTACAAATAAGGTACAGCAAATAGTGCAGCCGATGCTCTGTCCAGGAGACCTCATGATGGTTCTCAGTTGTTTTCCATTTCCAGTAGCCAACCCACATGGTTAGTTGAAATTATTGACAGTTATAAACATGATGAACGAGCCCTGACAATTATGCAACAACTAGCTGTGCAACCAGCTTCTAAGCCACCCTACAGTTTGGTTAATGGTATTCTGAAATATAAGCAGAGTATTTGGGTTGGCCCTGTTCCTGCATTACATCAGAAAATTTTCTCTGCTTTTCATGATAGCCCTTTGGGGGTCATTCAGGTTTTCCAGTGACATACAAAAGGACTCATGCTCTGTTCACTTGGTCTGGAATGAAGAAGTTCATCTTAACACAGGTGCAGTCTTGTGTGATATGTCAGAAAGCTAAACCTGAAAGAGTTCCTTATCATGGCTTGTTATCTCCCTTGCCAGTTCCACATAAAGCCTGGGATACTGTGTCTATGGATTTTATTAATGGTCTTCCCCAGTCATCTCAGTACAACTGCATTTTAGTGGTGATTGACAAATTTTCTAAATATGGTCATTTTATTCCACTCAAACACCCTTTCAATGCTCAGAAGGTGGCTGAGGTGTTCTTGGATAATGTTTACAAGTTGCATGGTCTGCCTAGTGTGATCATATCTGATAGAGATCCACTTTTTACTAGTCAATTCAGGAAATTGTTAGTTGCAAAAACAGGGACTCAATTGAATATGAGTACAGCAAATCATCCTGAAACAGATGAGCAGACTGAGCGAGTAAATCAGCAAGTGGAGTGTTATTTGAGATGTTTTATCAGTGCTCAACCACACAAATGGAGTAAATGGTTGCCTTTGTGTGAATTCTGGTACAATTCCAATTGGCACTCTGCTTTGGGGAAATCTCCTTTTGAAATCTTGTATGGGTATACTCCCAGATATTTTGGCATCTCTGCAACTGATACAATTGCTCCATTGGAAATGCAAGATTGGTTGCAATCTCGCCAAGCAGTCACAGAAACAGCTCGACAACACTTGTTAAGGGCACAGCAACGTATGAAAATCAGGCTAACAAGAAGAGAACTGAACGGGTTTTTGCAGTAGGGGATCGTGTCTTTCTCAAGCTGCAACCCTATGCTCAGTTGTCATTATATTCCAGGGCAAATCAAAAACTGGCCTTCAAGTATTGTGGTCCTTTTCCAATCCTGGAGCGCATTGGAGAGCGAGCTTATCGATTGGATCTTCCTAATAACAGCAGCCTACACCCTGTCTTTCATGTTTCTCAGCTCAAGAAGTTTTTACCTCGAGAGACGATTCCCAGTCGCACATTGCCTACAGTCAGGGCAGCTATACAAGTCCCTCTCAGTATACTGCAGAAGCGAGTGCGATCTCAAGGTAAAAAGACTGTTGCCCAAGGGCTAGTTCACTAGTCTGAATCTTCTCCTGCAGATGCTACTTGGGAGGATTTGGAGCATTTGAAGCAGCAGTTTCCCCGTGCTCCGGCTTGGGGTCAAGCCGGCTCTCAAGGAGGGAGGAATGTCAGCACACCGGGTAGCGCTTCAAATGATCTGGCAACAGCGACAACAGGTGACGACACTATTCATCATCCGACAAGCAGAGAAGAAGCGGCAGAGTTCAAAACTTCTCGTGGGCCTGCGGTGCGGCCCACTCGGGTGAAGACGAAGCCCAAATGGCACGCCGGCCCGGAATGGCTGTAGTTTAAATACCCTTGTAACGTTCGGATGGATTGGCTTTGGACGGACGGCGGCTTCGGCCGATTGTAATAGCTGTAGTACAGAGGGAGGTTGGGAGGATAAACACGCCATCGAATTTTCCCCATTCCGCCATGAACCCTAGCTTCCACGCTTAGATCGATCGCGACTCTTACACAAACTTTGCTAAGTTTGACCAAATTTATATTAGAAATTATTAGCATCTATAATATCTAATAAATATAATATGAAAATATATTCCAAGATGAATCTAATGATATTGGTGTTGTTATATGTGAATGTCTATAATTTTTTATATAAATTTGATCAAAGTTGGATGAAATTGACTTCGAACAAACCTAATATGCAGAGTAAAAAGGACCGGAGTGAGTACTACAGTATATTGAAGCCACAATGTGTGCCGCAGTTCACTCGTCGCCGGACACGTAACCGACACTTAAACCAGGTTGTCAACTTCTCGCATCTTTGCCCATCTTGCGTCGCCATTAAGCTGTGACTGAACTGTGAACCCTCCAACATTTTCAATGCCTAGGTCTTCACTGAACGAGCAGCCAGCCCGTGACTGAGCTTGTTTACATCCTCCAAGAATTTAAAGGCGTCGCCGAGCTCGATGCGATCGATCCGGCGGCATCGATCCTCATGTGGTTGACCCCGGTAATCCTGCGGCACCTTCTCAGTCGAGTCTGCACTGCATATATCCTTCACTTGACCGTGGCTGGCCCCGCACACTACAGTCACTCACTTCACTCGCCAGGAGCCATGGCCTTGGCTAGGGAGCGCCTCCTAGCCAGCCTATCGGCTCTTGCGCTGATGATCGCCGCCTGGGCCTCTCCGGTTGCCGGTGGTCACCCGGCGGACCAGCTGCAGATACTGTGGGGGCAGACGAAGGTGCTCAGCGACGGCAACGGCGACCAGACCATCGCGCTGATGCTGGACCACGCCATGGGGTCGGCTTTCAAGTCCAAGACCTCCTACCTCTTTGCCCGGATCGACGTGGACATCAAGCTCATCCCCAGGAACTCCGCCGGCACCGTCACCACCATATATGTAAGTGAGATCATGCCATGTCCATCGTCTCGTCATCCATGCACGGCATGCACGAGTTCCTGGCAAAGTAATGGTACATATGCTGTGTGCTGTGGTGCAGATGATCTCGGAGAAGGACTGGAAGACCCACGACGAGATCGACCTCGAGTTCCTGGGCAACGCCACCGGCCAGCCCTACACCCTGCACACCAACATCTTCGCCAACGGCGAGGGCGGCAGGGAGGTGCAGTACCGCCTCTGGTTCGACCCCACCAAGGACTTCCACACCTACTCCATCGTCTGGAACACAGACGAGATCCTGTAAGCCTCGCCTTATTCTACACACCAGTACTCTGTTGGACATGTCTGAAACTCTGAATGCTTTCAAGTTTCCATGGCATTTACTGTATGTTGCTGAAGGCATTGTCGGGGTGGTCTGCAGGATCCTGGTGGACGGCGTGCCGATCCGGCAGTTCAAGAACCACTGGGACGCCGGGGTGCCCTTCCCGGTGTACCAGCCGATGCGGCTGTTCGGGTGCCTGTGGGACGCAGACGACTGGGCCACGCAGGGCGGGCGCGTCAAGACCGACTGGTCGCAGGCGCCGTTCGTCGCCTACTTCCGGAACTACACCGCCTCCGGGTGCGCCCCGAGCGCCGGCGGCTCGTGGGCTTGCGGCCCGGACCCCTCCGGCTCCGGCGGCAGCAGCGGCTGGATGGACCGGGCACGGGGAGGAGGGCGGCTGGACGACGACGTGAAGCAGCAGCAGCAGCTGAGGGAGGTGCAGGGCAAGTACATGATCTACAACTACTGCACCGACGAAAAGAGGTTCCCCAATGGCTTCCCGAAGGAGTGTGGGCTCGCTTAGGCATTATTGTTACTACGTACTAGGATGAGATCGATAGAAGTGATTGTGATGATGGAGCTGGGTGGGAGTTGTGCGTCTTGGCAATAACATTATTTCATTCTTCTTTTGGCTATTTATGAACGGCAATTCTTCTTTTCTTCCTGGAGAAAGAAAAACAAAAACAAAAGAAATAGCAACCGTTTCTGGTCATGTGTAATACGATGCAGAGATTTGTTAATTATATATACTGATTCCGTGAAGATTAAAGAGTGGACACGTACCAACGCATGGTCATGAGTGTAAGCACGGTAGCACAGAGCAGTTTTCCCATAGAAACAAGTAAACAAAATTCTACACCGATCGGGTAAAGACGCCGCTACCTGGCTAGCTAGTAGTACGATGCTTCCGAGTTCCGAGGCTAGTGTGATAATTTATCCAAGCGAAGGTTCTAAAGATGCCGCGATCTAGCTTAGCTAGCACGATTCTTCGGAGCTCAATGTGGTACTCCCTCCGGTCTCAAACGGTATCTAGCATTGAGATATGCCTAACTACATCCAGATAACTAATGTAGATTGAAGGGAGTAAAATTATTAGAGCAAAATCCAAGTGAAATCTTAGAGGGGCCCTCGCGTTCGTGCTGGGTGGTGGCTTCAGTACCTCGGCAATGGCTAAGAAGAACGGAGCAGGACAGGCCTTGGCAAGGATTGCCATTCGTCTCGGATGACATAGCTACACATATCTTTGACAGCTTGGTGAATGTTAAGTTGGGAGATGGCAAAAAGGTGTTGTTCTGCCGTGACCGATGGACTATTTTTTTTTTGTTTTTGAAAAAAAAAACATGTTAATGTCGCAAAATATCAATTACATCTAGCCTCTGCATGACAAGCGACATCCAAAATGCACACAGTCAAAGAAAACATCTAGAATGCACACAGTCAAAGAAAAAAATAGAAAAGAAAGAAAAAAAACAAAGGTCCTGCCACATGATCAACTTTCTCAGCAACTAGACGCAAACCATCACCAAATACAATACCCGAAAAATATAAAAGGTCTTCAAAAACAACGCCTCAAAAAAACAGTGCACAAGCACCATCTTTGCTGGATCTAAGATCTTAGATTTTCACTCTAAAGAAGTCCGAGCTCTCAAAACAATTCCTTCAACAAGGCAATTGGCAGGTACAACCAATGAAGGTCATACCTCACGTTTTCACCCTGAAGGTCATGGATCGACAACCGAGGAGCACCACTAAAAATGAATTCATATAGTGTTGCCGCCCTCACTTGACACTGTTGCTCCTGAGAGTTATCAAACACCTGGCTGACTCCATCGTCTGGAAGGATCCGTCCGCCTAACTGATCATCCGATCTCGGCCACCATGACCTTCTCCACAACTGTCTACACCATAGAAATCGAGAAGCCAACATGTCTCATGGTGTCAACAAATAATAGAGGTTCGCGCCACGCCGTCGTGGAACCTTGTAGGCTGATATGACGTGCACGACCGAATTCTATCAGATCCAAATATCTTGAGAAGTGATAGGTGGGAACCCGATGAACGAGTTCACACCCGAGGGTGGCCCGATCTTCACGTCGTAGAATCGAATCGGGAGGGATAACTAGCTGCCAGCAGTCGGGATACTAGCTTTATACCTGCCAAGGTTGGATGCAACCCGTACGTCGGGGAAGGCTGGCCGAAACTATAAGAACTCCAAGCCGCTGTCCGAACAATCGCAGAACCACAAATCAGGACTAATCCACACAAAACGGTTGGAACCGTAGAGCGCGAACTAGGGGGAACCAGAGGCTTCTTCTAGCGAATCTGAATGAACTCACAAGAGCAAAGGTAGCAAGATCTCTTGGATCTCTCTAGCAGTCTTGCTGCATAAGCTTGTAGCTGAATGGTTTGACAAAAGGTTTTTTCTAGAGGATGGGGAAGATGGGGTTTTATAGCAGGGACAACCCCCCTTAGCTCGGTGTGAAAATGGTTTCAAAAGTAAGCATGTTTGCATGGCTTCCTTAGGTGAATAAGCAGTCAACTTTGGGAGTTGTTGGAGAGCTCCTCGGAAATTCGCGAAGCCTTGACAGCCTGGACACCTTCCACGAGAATGACTACAACTTTTGACTCACAACTCCAAATGATGTGAGGTTTTTTGCATTGGAAAGATAATTTTATGTAGCTTATGTTGACGTACCCCTATGGCCCCGTCCCTCCACCATATGGATGTGCCACCATGAAACATCATTGGTAAAATCTGACAGCATCAGCTTCACTTGAAACTTGTTTTCTCCAAACTTGTTTCTCCAAACTGGTTGCTTCAAGAGCTCGTAAGTTGTTGGATTTATTCCATGTGATACCTAAATTCAACCAACAACAATGGAGATGAAAGTGCAGCCATGTATTCAAGATTATAGTATGAACTTAAGTTAGCGTTCACCTGGGCATGTGTTTGCTTGATTCGGCTTAGTAATTCTTTCCAACCAAATTTTGCACTTTTCTGAAATGTCATGTATGATGTACCCATGTGCTCATCATCCTCCCTCCCTTGATGAAGAGTCGTCCTCGACTCTCTTTGATCTGCAAAAGATAAGTAGAAGGGAAGTAGATAATATCAATGCAAAGAAATGATGCAATCCTCATTTGTAGCTTTCATCTTTGAATTGTGTTGCATCTGATCATGTACTTCTTTTTCACAACTTAGAATTTGTTCAGGAATGATTTGTGTTGTTTAAATGATGAACATGTCCTCATCATCCCCCCTCTCTTGAAACGGAGTCGTCCTCGACTCTACCTGGTCATCACACAAAAGAAAGCAGGGCAATACCAAATCATAATGCAAAGGTTTCATGATATAGAGAATTTTAATTTTCAACTTTGCTATCTTATGGACGATGTCAATATGATGCTTTGTTCGACTTAGGAGTTCCTTCCAGCAAACGTTTCCATGGAGTACAAATTTGCAATCGACAATGATCATGTTCATATCAGCATCCCTTTCTAGGAGAAAAGTCATCCTCGACTTCATTTGGTCCACAAAATTATAACACGAGGACAATTTGAAATAACTAGGAAAAGAAAATGATGAATAATCATGTGCAACATTTAGTTTTATTGGATATTTTATAGCCTCTTAAAGATTAATAAAATCATATTGATGGATGGATGATGTACCAAACAATTTTTCTCTAATCTTATCACGCCATTGCTTCAAAAACTCATAAGTGCATACCTCTGGCTTCATCAAAATGGAAGATCCTTTTTGTTTTACCTCATTGAGTACTTGAACGCCTTTCTGAAAATCGATCTTCACACGTGCACCTTGTGTAGTGGTGTTCCACGTGCACCACAATTGTTCCTGGATCTCGTCCCCCCATTGTTGCAAGAGAGCTGATAGGTATGACTTTTGCATCTGCACATATTGTAAAGAAAGAAAATTTTGTGAAAGGTTAGTAATTGAATACTCCTTTCTCTTTTCATTTGGTGGATCACTCATCTCTTTCATATTATGGGGAAACACCTCAAGCTCATGTTTGGTGGACTCACACAACTCACTAATCCTCTCTCTTGGATGATGTGGTATATTATGTTGTGGTTCACTCATCTCTCTAATGAGGTGCGAAATGATCTCAATCTCACATTTCGTGGACTCACACAACTCATTAATCCTCTCTTCCTGAATGTGTGGTATATCTAGGTGGAGATCTTGTATTTCTCTAATCTCATGATGAACAATCTGATCCTCACATTTTGTGGACTCACTCACCTCACTTTCCTTATCACTCTCAATATATGGAATCGTGGAAAGTGGACACTCTTCCTCACATTTGGTGGAGTCACTCAACTCATTTTTCTTTTCACTCTCAAGTGCTGGGATTTTTGAAAGTGGAGATTCTTCCTCACTTTTGGTGGAGTCACTCAGTTTGCTTTTCTTATCACTCTCAAGTTGTGGGATTTTGGATTGTGGACTCTCTACCTCACGTGGAATTTGTAGCACATCTTTCTTGGATGTTGGGATAATATTGGTGGTCAAGATGGCAACACTAGGAATGAGCTTCTCATGTAAACATGGGCTATGAATTATTGGATTTGGTTCATCAACAACGGTCATGCTTTGTGGTGGGTCATCGGTGTGCCGACGGGAGCCATAACTTTGTCGTCGGGCATGACGTCCTTGCTGCGATTCATGAGCAGCAGTAACATGCCTAGGGGCAACAACAGCTTGCCCTCGAGCATGCCATCCTTGCCGCACTTCAGGAGGAGCAGCGACACGCCCACGAGAAGCAACACCATGCCCTCGAGCATGTCTTCTTTGTTGCACTTCATGAGTAGTAGTGACACGCCTATGGGCAGCAACATCATGCTCTCGAGCATGTCTTCTTTGCTGCACTTCATGAGCAACAGGGTATTGTCGGTGTCAAACCCCATCACCACCTGCTGGAGGTCGGTCGTGAAAACATCCTTCCAAGGCCTCGAGCCATGTTCCGTAATTCCTTAAAATCAGCACGTGTGACCGGGGCATCTTCTTCCCCATGGTTTTCTCCATGAACACTCGATCTAGATCCTGCCATGTTAGTAAGGCCAAAAGTGGAAAAGGATAATTTTGTGGAATCACACAACTTCACCTCTTACTCACCAAATTTCGTATGAGTTAACATCAGAGTGTGCTTCTCCCGAATGTGTTAAAGCGATTGAAAGACAAGGATCAAAGAACTAGCTTTGATTTTTGGTGGAGCTCGGTGGGGTAAACAAAAGGGGGCTTGTGCTGAAATCAAGTTGATGCAAACCAAGAAAAATATGTGGATGGATTTGCTGCACCTTTGCACCAAAATTGAAAAACACAACACACAAGCTTCTGAAATTTTTCTATCAAGCTCAAACTTTTGGATCTTACACAACACTTTCTTTTTCTCTCTTGACTTTTTTCCCACTCTTTTTTTCTCTCTTTGATTTTTTTTGCCACTTTTTTTTCTCTTTTTCCAAAGCACAACAACCAAATCTGAAAGCAATTATAAAGATGAACTT